ATGATTAAGGCATCACATGACTATTGCTTTGATTCAAGTATAAAGTTGATTATTTGAAACATTATACAATGAATAATGAGTAATCAATATGGTGTTTGAATAAAAGGTGTTCTATTTACTCTTAAGGTGCTTGGGGCCATATTGGATTAGTATTATTCTTGTGCTTCACTTTGCATGTTTTGACTTCCAGAATAGCTAGGTTATTCTTTCTAAATGACTAAGTTATTCAAAACTCTCCACATTCGGTCATAAGTTGGAAGTAGGTATTGAATTAAGACTGTCATGAATTTGGCTTGTAAGATTTTTCTAAGGTGTATTACACATGGAAATGGTTGTTGCAACATTCATGAGTGCTCATAAGGTCTGAGTATTGGATTAAACCCATGCTCATTTGAATCACTTCATGGATTTTATCACGGGTGATCATGAGACGATAATATCTTATATTCTTCAAACCTAGAGATATGATTTGTTGACTATGAGTTGGTCATACATTGATTGTACGAAAACACATCAGTAACTTGATGTTATAAAACTTGCCTTTGTGTATGATTCGACAAATGGTTAGTACAAGCATATGAGTCGAAGTTTATCCATTCTTTTTACCCTTGGAGGGATAAAAGCGATATCTGTGGGCCCCTCGATGATTTAGTGATGACAAACGTAAGTGCTCGGCCGGGCGTAGACTGATTTCATTTGTTTAATTAGTCAGTCGTCATAAATCGGAAATCGGGAAACAACAAATGGACAGAAAGAATGATTATAATCCATGTCTCACTCCATATAATATCTAGAATGGAGGAATATATGATCCATTATCTAATGGACATGTTGTTGATTTGTTCAGAGTACGACAACTGCTTTTAAGAGCTACGATTGCTAGTCGAGATCTTGGAGTCATACGCAATAATAGTTTTAAACTTATCCAAGTGGGAGATTGTTGGATTAGATGTCTAAGCTCATAACTATTATTGGTATGTACTCGACACAAGAGTAGCATGGTCCATTTGGGTTGCATATCATCAGGACAATTTGTTAGGATGGACTTTTGAGAGAAGGTTATTTATGGTTTATTAATATATTATAAGTTATAATATAGTAATATGAAATCTTATGTTTTTAATTAGTGTTGATCAAAAATGAATTTGGAATTAATTTAGTGATCAAAAGATACTAATTAAATCTATGGGGACTAATTATCGTAATTAGTTATATTTATATGTGTTGGGCTTATGATCCATGATGGACCAAGTTAATGTATGGATACATAAAGAGTTAGGCCACATGAACCATGGATCATAAAACCCATGGGTATGGGTTTGGGTTATACCCATGACTCTTAGAATTCTACACATATAAATACATATATGATGACCTAAAACCGCCACCCTAGTGTGTGTGCATGTTCTTGGAGTTCATGAAGGTTTTAGAGTGCATGGAGATTCTCTCTCAAGTCCTACCTTTTTCCTTGATTTGTTGTGACTTAATTTGAGGCTTCCACACTATTGGGGCTATGCTCTTAAGGCCAAATGCATCAAGACTTCCAGCCATATGAAAAAGTATGTTACACTAACTAGCATCTTGTGTAGTTTACATCTTTACATGCTAATTATAGGATTAATACCTTGGAAACACCTTTGCATGTATAATTAGTGAAAACATAGATACAAGATATTTAGGGTTGTATGTGCACCATAGGATGTTGTATTATACCAAAACCCAATAATTAAGACCTTAACATCAAAAACCATAGCTTATTGGCCCATTAAGACAACCTAGATCATGCAAGGAAAGAAACTAATGTCCAAGATCACATTGTTATGACTTAACACACCCTAAAACATATGAAAGGACAACTCAAAGGTCATATAGTATGCCATACTCACAAAGATCAAGATTTGGGACAAAAAGGTGCTAACTTTAAGCTAAAACTAGATCTTAACGAAATATTCATCGAGGTTGGAGCTTTATACCTCCAAGAGATGCACATGAGAGTGTAGTTGTTGGATCCAAAGTCTTGAGTGAAACACCAAAAATTCAAGGTTCCTTCTTCACCACCAAAAGCACCAAAATGGCACCAAAATGACTCTCCAATCTTCAAAACACACTCACACACTTTAGGGTTTCGAGATAGAGATGGAGGTTGGAGTTAAGGAAGGGTATGGGGCTATATTGATGCTTAAATAGGATCTAACCCCTAAAATTTAGGGTTTGCACCTTGGCCACGTACGCCCAACATATGAAACGTATACCCAGCATACGCAAGCCTTACCCAAAAACTATGAAAATACCCCTTAGGACTACATTTGCAAAAAATACTCAAAACAAAGGTCAAAAATTGAATACCTGGAAATTAAGATGTTACATTTAGGACTACTACTTGAAAATGAAGTTTCTATAGACATAAGAAGGCTTTGTTTTTAAATTTGTTTAGCCTTGATTTCATTTAGATATGTCAAGACATTGTCTTATATTAGGTTTTTAGTGAAGGGACATGGGTATGGGGCTACGAGGACAATAGAAATTAGGTGGGATGATATGGGTTGTGGTGGTGGTGGTTGTAACACCTGTTTTTCAGGTTGGTGTAGCTTAAAACTTAGCATAACCAAAGATGGAACTTTTGGGAAAAACTCCATGCCACGATGAGGCGCATGGAAGGCCACGATATGGCAAGGTTATTCTAGAATGCGTGTTTTAGTGGGCTCCACGACGTGACAAAGAATGGCCACGACGTGGCAGCCGTTGCAACCCAAAACCCAGATTTTTAGGGTTTCTCTCGTATATAAACACCTTAACTTCCATTCTAGGTCATCTTCCTCAGCCTCTGTTACGCTCAAACCTCAGAAACCCTAACCTTAGCCTCTCTTGGTGATTTTAGATCATTTTGGTGCTTTTGGTGGCTTTAACAAGAAGAAGAAAGTGTTCTAGTGTGTTGATCTAGCAAGAAAGCCTCATCATTCTTCACTTGTGCATTCTCTAGACCTTTGTAAGTGTCTAAGATCCTAGCTTTATGTTGCTTACTCTTCGATCTATGCCATTTGTCCTTTGATTTTCGTATTATGATAGTTTAGAAGGATGGATCTAATAAAGTTGACAACTTTATGGATCCTTATGGTCTCTTTGAGGCTGTACGGTTTAGATTTGAAGTTTCTTGTCTTATTTTGATTCGTACGCAAAGTCGGGTTTATTTTCTCATGTATATGACCTTATTTGGTAAGGGCATGCATGTCCATAAAGCCATGATTTTTATGGTCCACTAGGTGTGGGAAACTTTTCTAGAACTTGAGAGAAGTAATTTTGGTTGATTAAGTGCTTAATGGGTGAGTGCATGCTTTAGGTTGCCATTAACAACTTAGGGTTTGAGATCTTGACTCTTTGGGGTGTCTTAATGAATAAAGTTGTAAACTTTATTCATCAGGACCTGGGGAAGGGCTAGATCCTGGGCTTTGGAGCCCTTAGATTAGGAAGAAAACAACTTAGCTCAATTAAGATGCTTAGACCAGTTCCCATGACATGGCTATTAGGCTTCCACGACATGGCAACTGAGGAAGAAGCCGACTGTTTTGGCATTTAGTACCCAAGACGTGGACCCTAGGCACAACGTCGAGGCTTGTTGAAGCTATTTTTTTTTACTCTAGTGGGATTTTGATCGGGTTTGGAATCGTTAGCCACGATGTGGCTAAGGGATAGCCATGATGTGGAGGTCGAATGATATTGACTTTGACCGTTGACTTTTGACCTAGGGTTGACCTTTGGGTATAGACTAAAGTTGGACTTTGTTTGATGATTAGGTGTGTTGTAGCACCAGCCTCGCAGAACTTAGATGTGGTTATCCGATTTCGTGAGTCGGGTGAGTCTTCTCACTATACTGTGTAGGATGCTAGTTGTCTTTATGACTCTTGCATTTTTATGTTAGGTGGGGCCCATTTGTATGTTGGACAGGGCCAACACATATGATGAGTGTGGCCCGTTATGTGGGCGAGGCCTGTTACAGTGGGCGGGGCTCGACGTTATGTATGGTATGTGGTATTTTAGAAAACATAATAAGCTCTGTGCTTACAGTTTTATGTTTTAAACGTTTTTAGGTACTTTCAGTTCTAAAAGGAATGATCCAACTTGACTACACAACATCCCATTATGATTTCTGCATCGATGATTAATTTAATATGATGATTTTAATACATTGTACTATGATGATTTTAATCGAAAAAAAATTGTTTTAGTTTTTATTTTTGTTTTTGCGAGTATTATATCAAAGTCTTTGAGCAAGATCCAAAAATATATATTTAAGATGCTAACCACATCAAACATAGATTACCGACACATTCTACTTTGAGTCCACCCAATTTGAAGAAAAACTCCAACAATCCATTACTTGCTTTTCAAATTCTATTTTCCGAGTTCATGCACTTCGACTGAGTATAAATTATTAAGTGTGACTATGGATTTCGAGCTCAAAGGAGGACTTCTATTATCAATCTCAACCTCCATATAAACAACACCCTAAAATGAGAAAGTGAAAATGACTTTAGGTGGGTCATGAACTTTTTATTTTGTTTATAATTAAACTTTTTTACACAATTAACTATCAAATTTGTGAAATATAATCAAATATAATTATTGTTACCTAAAATAATTAGCAAGATAATATTTGAACACATTTAACAAATTTGATGGACAACCATATTAAAAAAAATAAAAGTTATTCAAATATAAATAAAATAAAAAAATTCATTATACTCCCAAACCATTTTCATGTGCATTATCCATACTTATTGTAAATTGATTTTTCATTTATCAAATAACAAAAGTCACCTCAATATAAAATCATAATTTCAATTAGGTATGGGATTCCCTAGAATCATGAACCAAACGTGCTAAGGATTGGAATCGGATTAAAATGTGTATTTCTTTAAGCATCAATGGAGTCATAATACATAGTCAACTCTTGACCGACATCCGGTCAAAATTAAGTTGACCTCTCGCTTTCTCAATCTCATATGAACTTCATCGCCTTATATAAATGCGTCGGATTAGATTTTCTTGTTGATTCAATATTTTATTGCCAAATTGAAGATATGCTTCGCCGGTATTTCAGGTTGAAAATGGTGGAAATGAACCTCATATAGTGTCTGTGTGTGTGTGTATTTTGTCTCTCTGTGTGTGTTTTTATTTTCTGGGAATGGATGATAGAGGAGGACACGATGGTGGATCATTTGTCGCAGTTCGGAGGATTTCGCAAGGTCTTGATAGAAGCAATGCTTGTCATACAACAGGTATACAAAATCTCCATCGATTAAATTCGTTGAACTACGTTACTTTTCATTATGATTTTGTAAAACATTGGATCTGTGTTGGTTGAATTTATTCGTGTCGCGAGTTGAGCTTGCTTAGAACTGTAAACATATCGATTGAATTCCAACTTTCTTCGAGATTGTATAAGACTGAACTTTCAATGGCGTATAAAGTTTGGATCACTGTCAAGCGAGCGACTTTAGTTAAGACAATCTGGTTCGATTGGATGAAATGGATAAAGCTTCAGCCTGTTATTGCGTCTAATCAAACAAATCTCTACATCTTTTTGCTTACAATTCATGCTTTTTGATCGGGATTAAGTATTTCAAATTTCAAATTTCAATTCATGTGCTCTGATTGACCGATTCCATTTCATTTTGAGCATAAAGTGATTCCTACTTTAGGTTTTCATTTCCCCTTATTCTAAACACCATCTGTAACAATATGCATCGTTTTTCTATCTGTGTGGGATTCATAGATCCTGTTCCATACTTCCATTACATACCTATTCATCAAGACATCAACATCATGACTTTTGGTAAAATTAGAACAAACTCACTTGCTCTGGTCATCTTCTTCTTCTTGTAATAGATGAGGCTGTTGCAGGCTCAACAGCATGGCTTGGCAGAAGCCTTTCATGTGTTTGTGTTCAGAGAAAAGAAGGAGACTCTCGCCCTTCATTTGATTTGACACCTGCTGAGGTATTTGTTATACCATTTCACATGATTGATATATATATATATATATATATATATATATATATATATATATATATATATATATATATATATATTTGATATGTTTTCAATACACCATTATAGATCTACACTTATGCTTTGTTTTTCTTTGATGTTATCAGGAGGATTGCTTACAAAGGCTGCAAAACCGTTTAGACATAGCCTATGATAGTTCAATTCCAGAACATCAGGTACATATCTTTATATCTGTAAAAAGATATTATTAATTTTATAAAAAGGGAATTGACATTAATACAATAATATACCTATTTTGTTGTTGTAGGAAGCATTAAAGGCATTATGGAAAGCTGCATTTCCTGAAGAGGAACTCAATGATCTGATTTCTGAGCAATGGAAAGAAATGGGCTGGCAAGGGAAAGATCCTTCCACAGATTTTCGGTAAAAAAATTCCCATTTTGCCCTTGAATCCTATCATTCCCTTTTCCTATTCATAAACCATGGAGTTTTGTCATAGGGGTGGTGGATTCATATCACTGGAGAACTTACTATATTTTGCCAGAAATTTCCAGGTATACCCCTCCAAGTATAAATGAAAGTAGGATGTTATAAATTATAAAATATAATAAACAAATATATAAAAGTAGATTGATATTTATTGTGTAGAAATCATTTCAAGATCTTCTTAGGAAGCAAGAAGGTGATAGAGCCATGTGGGAATATCCTTTTGCTGTAGCTGGAGTTAATATCACATTCATGCTTATTCAGATGCTTGATCTTGAAGCAGGTTTGATAAAAATGTTAATAATCCTTAAGAAAATTTGGAAATTTATTTCTTTTTTTTTTATATATATATTACTAATAGTGTTTCAAATGTATAGTAAAACCACGGAGTTTTGTTGGAGCAACTTTTCTAAAGTTTCTTTCAGGTATATAATTAAATTATAAGTGACCTAAAGTGTTAAATGGCATCCATTAGGATATGATATATAATAAGATATATAACTAAAAGTAAATTTCATTTTTAGTAAGTTTTAAATCAAATATAGGATTAACATGATAAAAAAAACCTTATCTAACCTCAATTTTTTTTTTAGAAAAAACACTCAAGTTTTTATTTTTTCACTAAAAAACCCTCAACCTTTTAATTTTTTCAGAAAAACAATCATGAACTTTAAATTCTTTTTGGGATTTATGTAGAAAAGTCCCATTATTTTGGGAATTTTTTTGATAAAGTCCTAAAAAAGTTAACTGAAAAGTCCTGATTATTTAATTTTACACGGTAATTTGTCGTTTCCTGTTAAAATAACAATAAAGACTTTTTTGTTAATTTTGGCAGAATATTAAATAATCAGGACTTTCCTGTTCAATTTTTTTTAGGACTTTATCAAAAAATTTCCTAAAATAATAAGACTTTTTTTGCATAAGACCATTTTTTTGGTTAATCTCGTGAAAGACCTTATATTTTGTGTTTTTTTCATATTAAACCTCATCTTTATTTTTTTCCTGAAAAATACATTGTATTTTCTAATTTTTTTCAAAAAGAACCCTTAACTTTGTCTTTTATTCCGAAAAATCCCTCAACCTTCTAATCCTCAATTTTTTTTAGTTCTTCTAAAAAAAACTAACATTTTACAACTTTTGTCGGTAAAAAATGACTAAAAAGGCCGGATCGAAAAAATGAAAAAATAAAAGGTTTTTTTCAGGAAAAAAATAAAGTTAAGGTTTAATCCGGAAAAATCACAAAATATAAGGTCTTTTATGAGATTAACCTTTTTTTTCAAAAAAAACCCCTCAAAATAGACAAGTTTTTTCAGAAATAAAAATTACTAAAAGGGCCAAATCGAACAAGATGGAAAAATACAAGGTTTTTTTCAGGAACAAAATAAATTGAGGTTTAATCCGAAAAAACTTGTAAAATGTGAGGGTTTTTGGAGAAAAAATAAAAAAGTTGAGGTTTTATTTGGAACCAGTTAGAAAGTTAGAAGGTTGAAGGTTCTTTTCCGAAAAAAGACAAAGTTGAGAGTTTTTTCGGAAAAAATATAAGATCTTTTTCAGGAAGAAAAATAAATTGAAATTTAATCCAGAAAAAAACATAATACATAAGGTCTTTTATGATATTAATGTAAAGAAAATTGAAAGCACAATGATGTGATAAAAAGAAATAATGGAAGTATGTCATAACCACATAGATGCCACATCAGCAGTTAACCTGTCAAACCAGTTAAACTTCAGATGATTTATCGTTTATATTTATTTATTTATTTATAATTCTATCGTAGGATCTAACAAAATTGCTTTTTATAAATTTATAATACGACAGAAAACGAGTCAGCATTTGACCTTTTGTATTGCATCACATTCAAGCTAATGGATCATCAATGGCTTGCGATGCACGCATCTTACATGGATTTCAATGTATGTGATTAATTTCCAAATTTTCATTTTTAATTTATTTAAAAATTATTAAATTAAGGCGTTGTTTCTTTTTGACTTCATACAGACTGTGATGAAATCAACACGCCGTCAACTAGAAAGAGAGCTTTTGCAAGATAACGTGAACCGCATTGAGGAACTTCCTTCCTACGGTCTTCTTACTCGATAGAATTATCAGTTTTGTTTGATTCATGAATTTTTACAAAAAAAAATTAATATGATGATTACTATTGAAATTCGCATTATAACAAAGACAAAAGTTTAGTAAATGATATTGTATCTGTTAAAGCTATGTTTGGCGCGCCACAGCTGCCTGATAAGTTAATTTTTTTTTTCGAGTTTTTTTAAACTGTTATGATTGGCAAGTCAAAAAGTCGTTGCTAAACTAACTTTTTTAAAAGCTGCTTTGAAAAATTTCTAAATATATCCTTAATTAATTATAAAAAAATAATATTCTAAATGTTCTTTTATATCATTTTATATCTTTCAACTACCATTTTTTGTTAGATAGCTTAGAAGCTAGCACAACTAGTTTTTACCGAACGGCTAACTTTTCAGTTACTCTGTCAAACATAGCATAACTAACTGTAATACTAACTACTAACCCGTCTCATATGGATAAAAAAAATAACAAGTGCTAAGGGCTAAGTTGTAGGCTACAAATAACCGTAACTTTGGAAAAATGGTATCAGAAGTAATTTTTGTTGAAAATTTATACGTATTTTTAGAGTGCATATTTTATGCGAGTTTCTTGTTTGTATCATCTTTTTGTTGTTTTGAAGATGAAGTATGTGAAACATGTATTTTTTGCATTACGTTTCTTGAAGTAAAAGAATTGGAATGCATTTTCTTTTTCTTGGTTCTTTTTCATTTGTTAGGTGTCATAAAATTATTTAGGTTTAGGCTGACTAACTAACTATTTCCAACCTTTATTTAAGGCTTCTCCAATCGCATGATATCCAAAAAAATTTGTTGTTCGAATGAGGTCCAACCACGTCATATACCTCATTTCTTTAGGAGAGGGAATAGTATATGGATAGATATTAATCTAAGAATATTAAGCGGATAATGACTTGAAATGATAACGGATTTTCGATTTTTTCATATTCAATCATTAATTTTTTTTATTATCTATTTACTACTGAATTATTGAAACTGTTCATATTTTACCCTCATGACCGATTTATATTTATTTACTAAACTTTTTGTTACCGGTCATAAGGTAAAATATGAACAATTTAAATAGTTCCGGTATTAAGGATAAAATATGAACATTTTCAATAGTTCAGTGACGAATAGATAATTTAAAAAAAATTAGTGATTAAATGTGAACAAAATCGAAAGTTCGTTTCCCTTTAAAAAAAAAGTTCAATAACTAGATGTGAACAAATTTCTTTTTATATTATGTTTTAGCAAATTATTTGTTTTAGTTAAATTCTAGCAACATTTGTTGATGAATAAATCTATGAAATAAAATAAAATAAAATAAAAAAAACAAAACCCCGAAAAATATATTAAAAAAACGAAAAACCGAAAACCGAAATAAAAAACCAATGGTTTGGTATTTTCCAAAATAAAAAAATCAAAATTTCCAATCTGATTTTGGTTTAACAAAAAAATGAACCATTCTCACTCATAGCTATTAAAAACCTTGTGTTTTATGGTTAGAAATTAAGTTGTATTTTGAAGAAAAAAATTAAAAACCTTAATTTTTTTTTTTAAAATGATTTTAAATATAAATTGTTTTTTCTAAGACCTTCTAAAATTATGAGTGACTTTTTTGAAAGAAAAGTAGTGTCGTTTTAATTGTTGAATATATAACTTTTTTCTTTCTAAAAAAAAATATTTTTGCAAAGGTAATACGGATTGGTGGTTTAGACACAATACTTCATAAAACATGTGAACGGTTTTACTTAATTCTATATGTCTAGTTAA